AGACCTGGTGCTCTCAGCCAGTTCTTGCCCCACAGATCTAAGCGTGAGTCAGGAGTGAGTGAGCACGCCTTGGACCCACCGAGAAGCATGTTCTCTCGTCTCTGCTGGCTTCATGATTCACACCCAGATGTTTACCTGAACTTCTTTCTGCCATGTGATGAGGCTAGTCAAGCTTGGGTGTGTATGTTGATGGATAGAAACTGAGCAGATAATTGGAGGCTGGTTAAAACTTTACTAACAGAGTTCCTGGCTTGATGTTTGTGAAAACCAACAGGCCAGCAGAAGTAGCTAGATGGGTGTGGGGCTGGGCTAGGCCCCAGATGGGGTACTGCTTCACTGGACATGCAAACAGCTGGGGAAACCCAAATTAGTTATGTTTGTATTTTGGATTTGTGTCGAAATGAAGTTTGGCTCAGTGAAAGAACCCTTGTAATGTGCCAAGGCCAGTGTCTGTAATCTTACTTTGTAAGGGCCCAACAGTAAATAGTTTGTGTTTTGTGGCCCATTTGTGGGCTCTGTTTCATATTCATCTTCAGGCTAACTGTGATATGCCGACCCCCCTACTCTAAGGGAAAGTCAGGGCTGGAAGAACCTCCATCTGTGCAGTCTCACCGTGGGGCAATAAAATGAACAAGTGTCAAGCCCCTTCCCCAAAAGTGCTGTTTCCATGGCAACGGTGACTCAGTTGCACTGCCTTTTAGCATCTCAGGTTTATATAGAATGTAGGCTCCAGCTCCAGATGTGTGGTAGGAGGTGTCTGCCTTGGCAATAAATCATTTGTCATTCCATGGCTGTGGGTTATTAACACCGATGTATTTGTATTTAGAACCAGTGGGTGCTTAAGTTATCTTGCCATGGCCCGTCAATTCTGTAGATGGGAAAACTGAGGCCTAGAGGGGCCAGTAGTGCCCAAAAGGTGCAAAACTTGCTTACAAAGTGGGAGGAAGGGACCAAAAAAATTGGATATACAGGTTTAGTGTCGACATTAGTCCAGTGCCTTCCCTCTTCTGGTTTCACTGAGGAGCTCTGGTCACGAGGACTGGAAAGCATTTCTACCTGAACATAGTAGGTGCTCAACTAGTATTTGCTGAATGGTTGAGTTTACTGGGAGGACATAGTTCTAGACCAACTAACATCTCCTAGGCACAGTTCTCAATTCCCAGAAGAGTGGCTCTGGTTTGCTGAGGGATTTATTTTTTTTGAGGGATGCCAGGAATGGGGGTGTGATCAGGCTTCTGGTCCCCTCTTGCTTTCTGGTGGTGGGGTGGGGACTGGTTAGTCCTCAGAAGCCTGTGTCACCAGGAAGAGACCTACTGAGCACTATCTCCGTCCACTGTAACCTCTGCCCATGGCCCTGGGCAGTGCAGAATCAAAGATCTGTTTATATCAGTGAACTGCCAGCAGAAGATTGGGTAACACATTTTAAGAAGACTTTTTGGAAGTATCTATAAAAAAAGCCTTATCTGGTCAAGTTTCAGAGTTAAAAGACTTTTGATTTTTAAAAATCAAGCTAATCAAGATTTTATGTGGAAAAATGATCAGAAAGGCTGGTAAATAATTTTTCTTTGTCTTGCCTTTCTTAGTTTGGTTTTTTAATTTAGTAAAGAACTAGTTATCTGAATTTAAATTAATGATGCTAAATCTGTAGTTCTCCAAGGTGTGTGGCTGGGAAGGAGGCTGGTTTTATTCAGAAGTGTTTGTAGGTTCAGCTGTTGAAAGCTGTGGTCTGGGACAGCAGAGATGTAGCACAATTTAGCATTTCTCATCATTGTGCTGAAATGAAAGATTCTGAAAGGGGCTTGCTGTTAATGAGTTCAGTGACCCTGGGTGGTCCCATTGTGTCTGTAGGCTGGATGTGGGACAGGACTTGTGTATGGGCTGCTTCTCTGCTTTATTCCAGGCCCAGCTCAGTGCTGGGCACATAGTAGTACCTAATGAAACTGTGTTGAATAAATCTAGTTTTCTGTTCTGGCTCTAACAGGTTACTATAAATCTAGTGGCTTAAAACCACACAAATGTATCCTCTTAGGTTCCAGAGGTCAGCAGTCTGAAATGGGTCTCACTGGGATAAAATCAAAGTGTTTTTAGGGCTGGTTCCTTCTGAAGGCTCCAGGGAAGAAAGTTCCCTTGTCTTTTCCAGCTTCTAGAGGCCACCGCTTTCCTTGGCCCAGGGCCCCTCCTCCACCCTCCACCCTTGAAGGACACCACGCCAGCCTCTGCTCCCACGGTGCTCTTCTGATGTCGATCCTCCTGCTCCTATAAGGACCCTTGTGGTTACATTGAACCCACCTGGATAACCCAGGATAATCTCCCATTCCAAGATCCTTAACCTAATCATATCTATAAGCTCTCTTTTGCCATGTAAGGTAACATTCACAGGTTCTGGGAATTAGGATATCAATATCTTTGTTGTTCAGCATACCACCCGAGTTTGTAAAACAGGACAGTCCCTAAGTATCCCCATCACAGCTCATGGAATAGTTTCCTGTTGGTGAATAGAAGACACATGTTCTGCCTGGGCCCCTCGCCCCTTGTTGGCCCCTACTCGGACTGTGCTGGAGCTATAGGGTCTCTGGGGTGCCCTCGCAGGCTGCCCATCTGTGTTTGAGCTGGAGACCTGTGAAAGTGCTTGTTCAAGGCTTTTCCTCTTAGATCCAGAGTCAGCATACTTCTTGTACATGCAGTATCTGTTGTATATTTTTTGTTTTTTAAACATATGGGAAGTATAAAAAAAATTAAATCATTCTCGAGGACCTCATGAAAAACAGGCCATTGGCTGGGGCCCTGACCATTGTTTGCCTGTCCCTGTGTTTTAGACTGTGAACTCTGTGAGGCATGGTCTATGCGGTGGCGATCTCAAGGGCTTTTGTTAACAGTGTTGCATGCTGGCCTGCGGGTGTGCGTGCGTGCGTGCCTGTGTGTGTGTGTGTGTTGGGGGGCGGGGGCAGGTGATTCTGTGTCCCTGTCCAAGTGATCTTTTCTGTTGGTTTGATTGGAAACAAGTATCTAAAAGTTACATCTCATGTAATTTTTATGGAGTATTTCAAGTTGGTTTACATTGAAGGCCTAGTCATTCTGATGCAAATAAGACCCCGCCCCTTGTAGTGGAGGGGCTTTATGGGCCAGCCTGAGGGGAAGGACAGGCACTTACAGGGAAGACTTTTGGGGATGAATAGAAACACCAGAGCCAGCTTCAGGGAGGGAGATGAAATGATAAGGGGCTTGCCTCAGAACCCTTGGGGCACCAGAATCGGAGCCCAGACACTTTTTTCTGCTGATTTCCATCCTTGGTCATTGCTGCTGTTTGCTTCTGGCACAGGAGGCAGAGATGGGGTGGTGGGAGGGGGGCTCCTAGCATCGAGTGGCTCTGATGGTAAACATGGGTGCGGGAGCACCTGAACCTTTCTGCTGCTTGTTTCTTCATCCATCCCGCCTGCAGGTAGCTTCCCACCTGCTTGGCCACTAAATGCAAGCCTTTCCCCTTGACTCTAGTGAGTGAGCTGGAGTCTGGATGAGGGAGGGAGTTAAGTATCCAGCCAGGGGGGCTGAAAGCATGTGGGGAGGAGAGGAGCATTTCTCTGAAGAAGGGGTGACCACCGGGTAGGTACCCCCACAGACAGGTGATTCCCAACTCTAAACACTCACCCCTTAGCATCTTCGTGCCTCTTTATGACTGTTTCCTGATACCCTTATCTAAATTGTGTCCTTATCTGTTCCGTCACCTGAGCAGGGCCTGGCAGATCTTGGGTATCAGATTTCACTCATTTTCAAGCTTTGTGAAGCTAATGGGAGGCAGACGTGTCAGTTTCATGTGAGAACAAGCTCAGTCGGGCCCCTTGGTCTGCCTGGAGGTGTGTGATGTCAGTGTCTTCACTCTCACTTTTTTTGGCCTCATTTGTAATGGATCTTCGCTCCCTGTGCTTTATATTTATAGTAAAGTCGTGGATCATAATATGTAGAATTTTATCTTAATGTCATCTTTGGGGCTGCAAAATGCTTTCCCACCACTCTGGATAGTGTGTTTTATCAGTGGATACTTCTGGAGTTACCTCATTTTTGTCATTAAAGACGTTAGCACTGTGCCTAGACTGATGCTTTCTTTAGCTTGCTTTTCTATACGTTAATTCCAGTGGGAAGTATTAACCACTTACACAGGTCTTTATTTTTCACGGATAAGTCTAGAACCTACAGCTGAGGTTGAGTGTGAACTGAAAGGCATTGGGGCTCTCGGTCCTCTGCCTGGCACGTGGCACTGAGCGCTGGTGGTCACTCGCTACAAATCTGCATGAATGAGCAAAGTGCTAGTAGACTCATAGAAGCCTCTGGAAGATGGGAAAGTGGCAGAGGCAAGCAGTTTCCTTCTTGGTTGTCTTTTCAAGGTTTTCTGTAAGTGGAGGGGCGGGTGTAGCTGGTAAGGCCCCAGGAGCATGTGCTTTCTCTCTTCCACATCTGCACCTCAGCCTGCTCTTGTTGCCTAAGCAGATGTTCTGCTCTCTGGATGCTGGTTCTCGATTTTGAAGGGTGCACGCACCCAGCTGTTATGGATGATTGCTGACTTTGACTGTTTTCCTTTGATTTGGTTTTGCTCATTCTTGAAATGAACAGCCTTCCTTTAAGTGGGTTGTGCACCTCCCTTATTCTGCCTGCCTTATTTTTGGTGTCACCTGGGTATTTTTTAAGTGATGAGCATTTATTTTTCCATCTTGAAGAGTTGTTCTTGAGTTGGAGAGAGGACTCAGAGTGGAAGTTTACATTTCTCTGTCATCGGTAAGCAGTAGACTGCAGTCCGTTCAGACGGAGAGAGTCTGTCTTAACGTGGTGGGAGGGGGGAGGGGGCGGCAGGGGGTGTCTATGATACGGTCTTTAAACATGAGTAAAAGTGCCTGCGCCTGGTAGGGACAGAGTCCAAAGCTTTCCGAGATCCGCAGGGCTCCCTAAGGGTCCAGCCCGCTGGGTCAGGGGCTCTGGCGGGTTAACGCTCTCTTTCTTCCATTTCAAAGGCAGATCAGGAGCGGCGCCGAGCACAATTCCCTTACTAGATGACATTTCATCGCGATGTCCGATCGTTTGGGGCAAATAACCAAGGGCAAGGATGGGAAAAGCAAGTATCCGACTCTCAGCCTGTTTGACAAGCATAAAGGAAAATCAGTAGACACAGTCAGATCCTCAGGTAAGACATGGGTAGAGGCCAGTGCCCTCTGCATCCCTGTAAGTCAAGAACTCCAAGCCAGGGGCCGTGAAAGCACAAGTCCCCCTTCTGGTCAGATGGCTGTGGTCCTCGTGCCTAATGTGCATAATGCCCAGTAGTTCTGGGGAAGCAGTCATTTTGTGCTGCTATTTGATGTCTGATTTCAGAGCTTGGGTTATCCTGACTCCCTACAGGGAGATCGTTTCCTCTCTGTCTTCTCTCATTGAAGCTGTGGATGCCTTCAGCTGATGGGGATGGGTAGAATGGAACTTACTTTGCATTTTTTTTAACCCTTTTAGGCTTCATGGTTCTGATGTTCTGAACCCTGGTGGGAGAGTTCACGTTGATGCTGTCCACACCCCGTGAAGCTATTATGCATGTGGGGGCCCTGCTGGGGCGTGGCTTAGGTCTGGCAGCCGCTATGCCTTCAGCCCTGCAGTAATGAGGCCAGAGCAGTCTTGACTTGCAGAGGGTGGTTGCCCTGTGGGATGGAGGTTTCTGGGCCTGTCACCCATGTCATAAACTCCCTGGGACTTCTCCTGCCCACTAGTACAATGGAGCCTCTGCGCAGATTTCAGCATCTCCTGTGTCTTTGAAGGCCTCAGTGAAGAGCTTGTAAAGTGGTGGAAGTGACTCCCAAACGCTCCAGTCTGTTTCCAGGCAGCCTGCCTCTTGTTTCTCCATTTGTTCCCTTTGCCCTGATCACTTAGAGTCTAAAAGAGCAGCCTGAGAATCCGGCCTCGTTCCTTCTGTAACTTTCCTGTGCAATGCTTTTCCGCCCCACCTCTCCTGCAGTTATTCCTAGACATGGCTTACAGAGTCTTGGGAAAGTTGCCACAGCCCGGCGTATGCCTCCGCCCGCAAACCTGCCAAGCCTGAAGTCTGAAAACAAAGGAAACGACCCCAACATCGTCATAGTACCCAAGGACGGAACGGGATGGGCAAACAAGCAGGATCAGCAAGACCCAAAGAGGTAAGAGCAGAGGGGCAGGTGGTGGGCCGCGAGGCGGGCGCCACAGCCGGCCCAGCATCCTGCCCCTTTTGCCCACAGCGCTGGAGATTGGGGCGGGGGCAAGGGGGATGCCAGAGGAAGCGCCTTTCACCCTGACTCCTGCTGCTTAGTTGTTTCTTGCTCCCTGCCTTAATTTTTCCTGGCTTTTGGAGCCACTGCAGTAGCGTTTCTTGGGCTGCCTTGTCCCCAGTGACCGGTGTCCCCTGTGCCTTATTAGGAAAGGCCTCATCACCCTAGAGGGGCTTATGCAATGAGTCAGAGCCAGTTCCTGTAGGAAACAGTACGTGCAGCGCCGGGGTTGAACACTTCATTCTGGTGGCAGTGCCTGTGTGCTGGGCTCCAGCTGGAGAAGGAGGCAGTCTCTCCAACTCCCCATGCAGACTGCTGCAGCTGCTCCAAACAGATCAGTGACGGAGGAGGCCCAGGCTCCTTGTTACTCTGGGTCAGTGTGCAGTCTCCCTGAAGGCTCTCCCTGCTGCCAACACAGCACTTGGGAAGCCTTAGGAGGCCTGGGGGCTGGCACAGAAATCATCGTTGGAGAAACAGAGTGACTGTTATAGCTGCTGTTGTGTGGGGAGGCCCAGGTGGTCCTAGCTCTGCTCAGGGCACACAACCTGGGCCATTCCCTCCAACGCCTGGGCCTTCATTCATCTCCCTCCACGGCAAGTCTTCTCTGGCTGGGTTGGAGCCAGTGATACGGTGTCCAGGAAAGAGGATTTGGGATTTGTGCTGAGAGGGACAGGCCTCGCTGAGGCTGGCAGGCAGGCCCCTGCTGTGGGAGGTGAAAACAGCAGCCCAGCCGCATCCCACATCTTTCATGGTGTGGCTGCTGGTGCTCGGGATCCAGGAAGTCAGTGACCCAGAACACAGCCTGCTGACCAGTGTCCCTTTCCCTTACCGGAAATGGCCATGTTAGATTTTTGTCAAACTTCCTCATAGTTACTTCAGACAGGATGCAGAGAGTGAGCAAGTAATTCAGTCAGATGATCATAAAGTAGTAAAAACCAAAACTAATAGCTTGATATTTAAAGCTTTTCTGTGTAGGGATCATACTTGTTTGTGATATAGTGTGACTTAGAATCAGATGTGTGTGTAGTTTCCGGCCAGGCCTTTTATTAGCCTTTTGGCACTTGGGGAGGCACCTGACTTCGGAGCGTCATTGCCCTCCTGTGAAGCAGGGGTAACACCTGGCTCCAGAGGTGGCTGTGAGTAGTAGTAACACCAGCCAGGCACTTAGCACAGAGCCTGGCACAGAGGGAGAATGCAGCAGGTGTCGGCTGTTACTGTCATTCTGCTCAGAAGGTGGACCCTACAAACTCTAATGAAACAGATAGTGTACATTTCCATGCAGGCATTGAAATGCTTCTGCTCCCTAGAGAGAGCAAGGCATTGCTCCCTCCTTTTGTGCGTCTTACCCTTTGTCGGTATGGAAAGGATCAGGTGGCTTTAATGAGGCCGTTTGTGTGGCATGTGTGCCAGGGAAGAGGTAGGGAGTGTTGCAGAAGGCAGCAGACCCCAGGCACTGGCTATCTGCTGTGTCCTCCTGGGCTACGTCCTCCCTCCAGGTATCAGGGAGATGGCAGAGTGGGGGCCACAGTTGCTTGGACTCGGTGCTGAGGTTTGGAGAACACAAAAGTGACATTGCCTGGAAGCTTCTGTTGTCGGTAGAAGGTGACGTGAGGCTCAGCCCTCATTTTGCAGTAATCACGCACGGCGAGTGACTTGGTGTATGTGAGCCTTGCATGAGTACGTGTGTGTAGGATTTGGCTTTGGCTGACAGACGAGCCGCCTGCACTGGGTGGATTCTGGCCAAGTGGGTTGCTGTCCCCCACAAATATCGTCAAGTGGAAAGTTGAATAGAAGTGACTGGAAGGCTGCTGGGTCAGCAGAAGTCTTCCTGCAGAACCCTTTCTTGTTGCTCTCTCAGAGAGTTACTTGTGGAGTGTAAAGTGACTGACAGCCTATGTTGAAGGGCAGTTTTAAGCTTTTAAACTTCAAAACATCCTTTGATCCAGCAATTGCATTTCTAAGAACTTATACTACTGAATTACACAAAAATGTGCAAAGAAGTATATACAAAAATGCCCATTAGTTTTATTGGTAGTAGAAAAAAAGTTGGGAGATTGGCAAATTATGGTCCATTCAGTTGTACAGTGTCATTAAAAGATAGCAGTAGATCCATACATGTTGCCATGAAAATATGTTATATAGATTAAGTAAAAGATAGGTTACTGAATTACATGTATGGTGTCATCATACTTGTGTTAAAAAAGTACTGTATTAATAGATAGAGAAAAATCTGCTTGGAGTTTCTCTGAGGATGAGATTGTGACAATTCTGTGTTATGTATATTTACAGAGTTATTTTTACTATGAGCATGTATTTCTTTCACAAGCAGGAGAAGGTTAAAACAAAATCTGCTTATGTATGTTTCAAAGCAGTCAGCCTGCTGTGAGCCTCCTGGTCAGGAGTAGGGTGCTCAGTGCTCCTTCTCTGCACTGACTCAGTTTCCCCTCTGGCAAGTCCTCCCATCACTTTGTTTACAGTGCGTTCTCAGTTTCTGTAAATGGTCTGTGTGAGAAGGCAGAGGACATTCCTGTCCTAAGTGAAGTCAGTGAGTAGACGTCAGCTTCTCGTCAGCATTAGCGCCTGTGGGAGAAGGCTGTTTGTTGACCAGAGGAAGGTCTTGCTCCCAGTGAGCAGCTGAGTTGCGGTGGCACTTGGAAATGCACAGGGATCTGACAGCCTGGCCTGTGCCCTGTGTCCTGCCTTTGTCTAGTTCCAGTGTGACGGCCTCTCAGCCGCTGGAGTCGCTGCCGCAGCCGGGTTTGCAGAAATCTGTCTCCAGTTTACAGAAACCGACACAGTCAATCAGTCAGGAGGTAAGTGCTGGGGACCCTGTCCTGATTGAGCCCCTAATGCCCCTGTTGGGGACTGGTAGGAGTGGTCACCGAGAAAAGTAGCTTTTCATGACCTGCTTATTCCAGAGGCAGAACAGATGAATGGCTTTGGAGAATTAGCATGGGAAATTGTCGTGGTCCCTGATGAGGTAATTTAATACACAGCTTTTGGAGAAAGACACCAAATATGGAACAGAATATAGACACTTAGCCTGGTTTCTGTTGACTTACCTCAGGCCAGTTACAGGCCAGGTCAGGGCTCCCTCAAATGTGCTCTTGGAAATGAATGCCATAAGAACACAACAAGTGTCTCCAAAGGAGAAATACAGATGCCAATGGGCACATGAAAAGATGCTCCACATCACCAATCACCAGGGAAATGCAGATTAAAACTGTGATGAGATATCACCTCACACCAGTTAGGATCGCCACCATCCAAAAGACAAGAAACAACAAATGCTGGCGAGGATGCAGAGAAAGGGGAACCCTCCTACACTGCTGGTGGGAATGTAAATTAGTTCAACTGTTGTGGAAAGCAGTATGGAGGTTCCTTAAAAAAGTAAAAATAGAAATACCATTTGACCCAGGAATTCCACTCCTAGGAATTTGAATCCCTGATTCAAAAAGGTATATATGACCCCTGTATTTATCACAGCACTATTTACAATAGTTAAGATATGGAAGCAACCTAAGTGTCCATTAGTAGATGAATGGATAAAGGAGATGTGGTACATATACACAATGGAATATTATTCAGCCGTAAGAAGAAGACAAATCCTACCATTTGCAAGAACATGGATGGAACTTAAGGGTATTATATATTAGGACCAGTGAAATAAGCCAGGCGGAGAAGGCAAGTACCAAATGATTTCACTCATTTGTGGAGTATAGGAACAAAGAAAAACTGAAGGAATAAAGCAGCAGCAGACTCACAGACTCCAAGAAGGGACTAGTGGTTATGAAAGGGTAGGGGGCGGGACGGTTTGGGAGGGAGGGAGAAGGGGATAAAGGGGCACTATAATTCTTAATCACGATATAGGTAGGTCATGGGGAAGGCAGTACAGCACAGATAAGACAAGTAATGACTCTGTAGCATCTTACTACACTGATGAACGTGATTGCAATGGGGTTGGGGGGGGACTTGATAATACGGGTGAATGTTGAAGTCACAAGGTTGTTGATGTGAAACCTTCATAAGATTATATATCAATGATACCTTAATTAAAGATAAATAAATAACATAACAAGTGGTAGGCCATAGAAAGGTTCATTGGTCATGTAAGTTTGAAAAACAAAATTAAGCAGGCCCCTTTACTGTTGTACATCCTTTCAGTGTCTTTAATATACTAATGTGTACTATGGCTTCTTAAGAAGAGGACATAAGGAACACAGCATTCCGCAAATTTATTTGTCCTAGGAAACTTTTGTAGACTGAATGTCTCTAGAAATGAGTGTCTCTCAGAAAACACTTTGGGAAATTCTGAGCTATTGTTGCTTTGTTGATGCATTTGAAATGTTTTCTATACAGAAAGCCATGATTTAACCAAATAAGAGCTCATAATACACTCAGTCTGTCGGAGTCTGTGGGTTACAGAGATCAGCAGGAAAATACACTCAGCTAGTAGCCAGAAATGTCGATGAGATGTCTATGAATCTTTTAGGAGACCAGAAGAGCTAGATGTAGGTACCTAACATTTATTAGCTCTCTTGAAAACACCGTGAACTTTCATAGTTCAGTTTTACATAGCTACATGGGAATAGAAATTCTGATGCCACCTCCCATCTGCAAGAAGTTTATGGCTTTGCCAGAGGACACACCCTGCCCAACACTGAGCCATGCTTTTAAAATGAAAGAAAAAGAAAAAAGAAGTCCTCATTCATGCAAGAGTCCTTATTCATTGGCCTCAATCCACTGAGGACTGTTGACCAGTACATGGAGTTGAGTTCATGTCTGTCCCAGAATGTGACAGTCCGTGAGATTCCCCAGCCCTGGTTTTACAGCCTTGGCGGCATATCAGACCTGCCTTTGGAGATAGTTAAAAAAAAATATGTGCCTGTGCCACACCCCTGGAGTCTGGGTTGGAGCCTGGGTACTGTCCTGGGCATCTGCTGAAAGAAATGGCTGAGGGGATCGTGTGTGGTCAGGTCAGAAAGCTACATCCTGGAGCCAGCTCATGGGTCACTTCACCCAGGGCTCAGCTCTTCCCAGCTGTGACCTGATTTGCTCTCCTGTGTGGAGGTGGAAAGAAGAGATTTGCAATGCTTCCCAACTTGTAAAATCTTTCCTAAGAGGTATTAGACACTTCCACTCTTGGGCTGGACTCTGCTAGCAACGTTAGCAGTGCCCTGCGAGCCCTGGCCTTGTGCTGGGTATGCAGGCTCACTTTTCTCCGAGGGACTGTCCAGCCCCAGCTGCACTGCCTCTGTCATGTTACTGGTATCTCCCTCCTGGGGTCTGCTGGGGAGACTGGTGGGCATTCCATGCCACCTATATCAAGCACTCAGGGCCACTCCTGAAAAATAAATGGGTTGTTACACCTGGTCGCCTCTGCATTGAAGGCAAGACAGTTCTCTGCTCCAACTGTGTGAGGTGGTGGTGACAAGGGGTGGACTGGGATGGAGGGGGTGGATGGGCAAGGGCAGTTTTTTAATCTGGGATCTAACCCAGTAAGTGATGAAGTGTGTTGCTGTAGCAGCTTTGTTTTGTGTATCTTATCTTCAGTTGGAAGGTGAAGTCTGCTAAGTTAAATGTTGTTGGCAAAGGCGGGTCAGCCCAGTGGTTGGGGACTAGAGACATGCAGAGTGGGGAAAAGTCCTGGTCCTGCCCCTCCATCTGGGATTAGTCACTCCTTTCAAGCCTCAGTTGGATACTGCTGGAACCTTCCCAGAGTGTGGGAGCATGTGGTGAGGCAGGCTGTGCTTGGCATGCGCCTAGCCCATAGGCGAGCATTTAGCCCATAGGTAGTACTGAGTTCCAGCCAGGCAAGTGCAGGTTAGCGGAGGAGGAAGGCCACTCGCCTGGGGAGCTGTGCATGTGGAATGACGGTAGTTATGGCCTGTTCAGGGAAGGATCAGGCACGCTGGATTTCCCGTGTTCACATTCATCTGTTGGCAGTGGCACGCAGTTTTGAGACACATGCTAGAGTTGGGGTTTGGTCTTTTTCTGTAGAGTGAGACATAGTAGCTCTGTGTGGGCAGGAGGGGCACCCTGACAGAATGTTCTGGAGAGCAGCCTGAAGGCAGACATGGGGTTTGAGTCCTGGCTTTGCTGTATAACCAGTGTATGACTCTGAGGGGGTCACTTACACCCTGTCCTGCTCACCTGTAACGTGGGCCTGGTGGTTCCAACACCCCGGTTGCCGCACCAGGTGGGTGCTGCCTGGGAAGCTCCTGTGGTTGTATGGTGCTCGCAAGTGGTTGTGGATATGTGCGGATGGGCTTTGAGCCTCAGGTGAGGGTCGGGGGCACCTATTCTAACTCACCCAGTGAATGGACAGCAGACCTGTTGAGCTGGTTCTGTTCTAATTTTCTTCCTTCTTTCAGAATACAAATTCAGTGCCAGGTGGACCAAAGTCATGGGCACAGCTGAATGGAAAGCCAGTAGTACACGAAGGTGGTAAGTGTGCATGTGGTGTTGGGGTGGGTGGGAGAGGTGGGTGTCTGTTCTGGGCTGTTTTGGTTGGATCCTTGCCAGTCCTTGGCCTGAAGCTTTGTGGGATCCCTTACCTGGGTGAGTTGCTGTTCTGAGCACCCAGCCTTTGCACCAATGCTGGAAGCACCTATTTTGCAGGGCGTGTCAGCTCTTTGATTTCACTGGATATTATTGCTGAAGAGATTCCTCCAGAGGTGTATGGAGCAGACCTGGGCGGCTCGCCCTGGTGTGCTTTAATTCAGCTGCACTGCCAATGGAATGAATACCTGCTCAGCAGTGTTGGAAACATACATCTCCCTCTCTCCTGGGGCCACGAGGAGGAGGTGCTGCATGTTGTGGCGTTAGCTTCAGGCCTCCTTTATAAATAAGCACGCCCTGGGGACTGAGCTGCTTGCCATTGGACAGTAACACCAGCGTATGCAGAGGGTTGTGTGGTGTTTGTTACCATTAGTGTCGTGTCTACTGAGAAGCACTTAAAGAAGCTGGTCTGCTGAGCTGCAGCTGTGGTAGTTCATTAGAGGGAAGGTGGGGACATGAGCAGAAGGAAAAAGTGCAGAATTTTAAACGAATGCTGAACAACAAATTCAAATGGCTCCCCAAACAGGCCTATAACAGAGAGGTCAAGCAGTTTGGGTGAGGGCCTTGAGGGGCAGTGGGGCCTGTGGCACACTGGAGGGTGTAGATCCTGAGCAGAGGGGTCATCAGACCTTCCTCTGGCCACTGGAGCCCTCTGAGAATTTGGGCCTAGGGTCAACAGGTATTTTTGAAAGAAGCCAAAAATCTGGGATTTTTCTACATGAACTTTTTTGATTTTTCATTGGTAGCATGAATATCACTAGCACACTGTGCAAACGAGTGACACCCCCAGGTGAAAGGAGAGTGATGGTGGTATGAACAGTTACAACAATTGCCCTTCCTCTTGGAAAGCAGTGCTGGCTGCCCCCTGTCCTGGCGTCTCCCGCTGCCTTCTGTGTGTTGCTGTCAGCCAAGTCTTGGGCAGACCTCACCTTTGGTAGCTTATATTAGAAAAACAGCGAGTGGCTCCCCTTTCCCATTTAGCCCTCCTCTCCATGCCCAGAGGCTGCCCCCCGTCTGGGCTGGAGTCGCTGGAGGCCCCCCTTCCTCTGCCGCCAGAGGGGAAGGACCCGTCATCTGGTGTGCCGAGCCGGTTTTCGGAGCTCAGCCTCTCTCGAGGAGCTCACAGTGGGGGGAGCTCAGCTCCAGCCTGCGCGTTGGTGGTCTGAAAGGGGGCTGCAGGGTCTCTGGTTTGCCGCGGAAGTGGAGGGAGCGAGTTAAGCAGGGTGGGGAAGGAGAGGTGGCGACGTGTACGTACTAGGTTGGGTCTACAAAGGCTTAATAGGGAGCCTTCACTAGACTGTTAACAGCAGTTCTTTGCTTTCTATAGCCTTTATTTTTGAAAAGTTAGAATTTTTTTTAAAGTAAGTTCAGTGTATTCATTTTTATTTAAAAAGAAGTACACAGCTCTTCAGCAGCTGGTGTTGGCAAAACTGGACAGCTACATGTAAGGGAATGAAACTGGATCATTGTCTAACCCCGTACACAAAAAAGTAAACTCAAAATGGATCAAAGACCTGAATGTAAGTCATGAAACCATAAAACTCTTAGAAGACAACATAGTCAAAAATCTCTTGAATATAAACATGAGCAACTTTTTCCTGAACTCATCTCTTCGGGCAAGGGAATCAAAATAAAAAATGAACAAATGGGACTACATCATCCTAAAAAGCTTCTGTACAGCAAAGGACACCACAGCAAAACAAAAAGGCATCTTATAGTATGGAAATATATTTGTAAACAACATCCAACAAGGGGTTAACATCCAAAATATATAAAGAACTCACATGCCTCAACACCCAAAAAGCAAATAACCCAATTAAAAAAATGGGTGGAGGATATGAACAGACACTTCTCCAAAGAAGAAATTCAGATGGCCAACAGGCACATGAAAAGATGCTCCACATCGCTAATTATCAGGGAAATGCAAATTAAAACCACAATGAGATAT